CTTTTGGAATTTGGGGTTTGAAGATTTGGACACTTTTCGAATTTGGGGTTTGCAGAATTGGGGATTTGGAGATTTGGACACTTTTGGAATTTGGGGTTTGAAGATTTGGGAATTTGGAGATTTGGACACTTTTGGAATTTGGGGTTTGAAGATTTGGGGATTTGGAGATTTGGACACTTTTCGAATTTGGGACATGGAGATACGAAAATTTGGAGATTTGGGATTTTTGGGATTTAGAAACTTGGGAATTTACATGTTTGGGACTTTGAGAACATGGAAACTTGGGGATTTGGGGATTCTAGGAATTTGAGAATTATGGGATTTTGGGAACTTGGAAATTTTGGAAATCTGGGAATTTGAAAATTTGGAAATTTAAGAGTTTGAAGACTTGGAAATTTGGAGATTCTGGGAATTTGGGGATTTTGGAAGCTTGAAAACTTGGGAATTGTAGAGTTTGGAGATTTGGAAATTTGGGAATTCTGGGAATTTGGGGAGTTTGGAAGCTTGAAAACTTGGAAGTTTAGGAATTTTGAGAACATTGAAAATTTTGAGAACTTGAGAACTTGGAGAACTTGAAACTTACTAGCTTGGAAACTTGAAAATTTGGAATCCTGAGAATCTAGGAACTCACAAACCCCAAAACTTGTCCCATCAATTCCCCTATCATTCAACAAACAACCCCCACATTTCATAGTAACCCAAAAACTTCATTTCAATCGAAAAGATAATTGCCATCTCGAAATTTATTTCCAGTCCTTTGTACTTAGACGAGTTATCAGAGCCATAGTACATACACAGTATTCTCTCAGGCATAGAGGAAGATAGTTTTCACGATCGTGGTGCTCAAAGTAGCAGACATTTTGAGCTGCTCTCCCCTTGAGAAGGAACTGTACTTTCTCTATCCCATCTTCTCGTACTATCTTTCCCAATGAGAGAGAAAGACAGAGAGTGGTACATAGTTGGAAGGAGAAAAGGAGGGTTGGGAGAGCACGGTTATTGAATTACGAACTCTTAGCTTTCCAGTTCTTGTAGGGTGCACGCCTTAAGGGACGCGCAAGTATGTTCGCAAAAAGCTCTTCCAGAGAAGTTGCAAATAAAAGGAGTCATCCACTTTTACCGGATCTCTTTGGAAAACCTGTCTCTATGCAGTTAAATACATCTGAAAATTTATTTATTACTCGTTCCAGTTATTTTATACTTATTTATTATTTTAGTTATTTTTTTACAATTTATTATTTAATATAAGTTCAGACATTTTTTAAATACTGCGTTTTTATAGGGTGCATATTGTTTAGTGCATTGTCAGCCATTTTGTGGTGAGAATATCTATGAAGAGTTTATACAGTTATTTTTAGTAAGCTTCAAGCTTTAAATTCATGTAACATAAGCGCCATTTTGTGATACTTTTATGTCATCAAATTGTTTCAGTCTTCAAGCGTATCATAGTTGGTTATTACTTTCTCTATGATTGACAATTAGCCATTTTGTAGTGAGAATATCTGTGGAGAGTTTATGCAGTTATTTTTAGTAAGCTTCAAGCTTTAAATTCATGTAACATGAGCGCCATTTTATGATACTTTTATGTCATGAAATTGTTTTAGTCCTCAAGTGTATTATATTAGGTTATTACTTTCTCTATGACTGACAATCAGCCATTTTGTAGTGAAAATATCTGTGGAGAGTTTATGCAGTTATTTTTAGTAAGCTTCAAGCTTTAAATTCATGTAACATAAGCGCCATTTTGTGATACTTTTATGTCATGAAATTGTTTTAGTCTTCACGTGTGTCATAATTGGTTATTACTTTCACTATGACTGGCAATCAGCCATTTTGTAGTGAAAATATCTGTGGAGAGTTTATGCAATTATTTTTAGTAAGCTTCAAGCTTTAAATTCATGTAACATAAGCGCCATTTTGAGATACTTTTATGTCATCAAATTGTTTCAGTCTTCACGTGTGTCATAATTGGTTATTACTTTTACTATGACTAACACTCAGCCATTTTGTAGTGAGAATATCTATGGAGAGTTTACGCAGTTATTTTTAGTAAGCTTCAAGCTTTTAATTCATGTAACATAAGCGCCATTTTGAGATACTTTTATGTCATCAAATTATATATCAAACTTGATTATTGTTTTCTACAGTCAGCCATTTTGTTTTAATATCAACGATCTACATACATAGTCAATTTCAATTTATTTTCAACTTCAATCTTAATACTAATACTATTCTGTTAATATTAAAATTAACAGAAGACATAAACAATAATTTTCAGCAAATCCAAATCTTTAAACCATGTCACAATCTCTCCCCAAAAATATCGATACATTTCAATTTCCACGATGTACTCACGAACAAAGTCAAACAACAGAAAGGTATTATTTGAATAATCTTGTTGAAATAATTTCAGTCAAGTAATATCCAAGTCTAACACAAATTAATGACTCAGGATGATACGTAAATTGAAATTATGCAGGATACAAGTATCTTTTGTGCAAGTGTAAATCGGTTCGTGTGCTGTGAATTCAAATGCGAGTCGCAATTGGTTATGCGCGGTGCTTCGCTTGTTCCCTGATTTCCATATGTGCAGTTTAAAATGATGTACTCCGCGTACATACGCGTGTATGTGCATATAATACACGTACACGGCGTGTTCACCGTAATGGCTGCCAGGATTTTTAATGCATTTACTTGTTTTCCAAAATAAAACTTTAAAAATATACTACCCCTTTTTGGTACGTTTACATTTTATTGGATTCTTTTAGATCAAATCTGATGGTGTGTTTCGAGTGACATTAAATTAAATAATTTAAATAATGAAATTATTTAAATGAAGACATGCAATGAAGACATACAATATATTCTAATATAGTTACTATTATAACTAGGTATTTTTTTAGCAGATTAAATGTCCTCATGTTATGTGTTTCATCAAGTGAAATCAAGTTAAATAATTTAAATAATAAAATCATATAAATGAAGACATACAATGAAAACATTCAATATATTCTAATATAGTTACTATTATAACTAGGTATTTTTTTAGCAGATTAAATGTCCTCATGTTATGTGCTTCATCAAGTGAGATTAAATTAAATAATTTAAATAATAAAATCATATAAATGAAGACATGCAATGAAGACATACAATATATTCTAATATAGTTACTGGTATAACTAGGTATTTTTTTAGCAGGTTAAATATCCTCATGTTATGTGTTTCATCAAGTGACATTAAATTAAATAATTTAAATAATGAAATCATATAAATGAAGACATATATATTCAAACATAGACATTATTGTAACTAACCTAACAATTAGGTGCTCATTATTAAAACTGTTACTCAGCCCCTATTTTACAATAAATTATTTATAAAATACATGCCTCAACCATTTTCGTTGTTAAATTTAGAAGCCATCTGTTATCTCAACAAAGCATCGTAAACCCCATAAAGGGGATTAAAGTATTTATTGTCAGCCGCTAATAACCTAAACCATTTGTCGCGACAGTTATTTCCATAAAAAGCGAAAACTTTTAACTTTTACTCGCGAGCGTTGTTCCTCCGTGACGGCCTCATTCGCGTCCACAATGGAGTCCGTAATTCTTCCTCGATTTTTCTTCCACCGTTTCAAACTAACGTACATTTTCTCTCAACGTGGAAAAAAAGAGGAGATCGTGCACAGAGAAACGAGAGAAGGATAGCACGTCGGAAGTAAAGAGGAGAGAGAAAATGGAGGAAGCAAGAGAGCAAGTCGAATCGAGCCACCCTCGTGTGTCACCTACTTCACAACGCGATACTATGTACCAAAGAGAGAGACAGAGAGAGAGAGGAGAGAGAGGACACACAGTAGAAATGTCGATAAAACGTGTTGGCCAATGAGGAAGCTCCGAGTGACGTCATAGTCATGGCATTGGCCAATCAGGAGGCACCGGTAACATCACTACGAGAGTGGAAACAAATCGACCTCAACCAGGGGGAGGCTTTTCTGTTTCTAGGGGATGCTTCGAAAGAGGGGTTTGGTTTCGGCCGGTGGTAGGGTATGTGGAGATTCGGGAAGGGAGGGCTAGAGGAAGGGAAGACGGGAGGGCGTAGAGAAATAGGGGGTGTAGGAGATTCAGGGATTCGATGTGGATGCCGGGGTGTCGCTGCTGGCGGTTCAGGCAACCCCCAATATGGGTTTACTAATCCCGCGAAACAATGGAAATTGCCCGATGCAAAATGGCGATAGGTAAACTACTCTACCTCGGGGAGTTCCGAAGATGGAATACACTCTGTTTAAAAATAAACTTCGTTAGATTTATCTTCAATACTTTTTTTTAATGAACCTCCACTTTCATGAGTTTTTTAAAGTTATTCAAAATCACACGAAGTTAATATTCGTGTACTGGCTGTTTCATTTATACTGATCCACACAAATTAATTGTAAAAAAATATTCTTCAAAACGTTACATTATAAGAAATAATAATAATAAGCTTTCATGACTGCATGGTTTAAGCCTTATGGTTGCATAGAAGAGATATGAAGGTCAACTCTTCTTTTAATGAACTTATGTATTATATTGCATAAGTATCATTTAGTGCAGTTTACACAGCAGTAAATATTTACACAAATGTATTAAGCTAATATACTTATAACTAAACACAGTCATGTAACATTTGTTTAAAATATATTTATAATCATTCTAAAAGAAATTCAACTGTACCAATTCAAATGAAACTTCATCTTGAAACACCTTATACAATTTTGAACATATGAAAAAAATATTTTTGACAAAGTTTACTTTTATGCAAATTTTAACTTCCAAAATATTATCGACAAAATGTAATCTAATTTTATATGTATACAAAAACAATATCTTACAAGACTACATTTTACATAAATAGACTATATTTTACATCAATAGACTACATTTTACTGGTACTTTTTTTGTGTGACCTTTTTTTTTTGATTTCTTTTTGAAGATTAATAATTACAATTCTTTTTTTTTTGTTAATAGGTTTGGTTTCAGAACAGAAGAGCGAAATACAGGAAACAAGAAAAGCAACTACAAAAAGCATTGACTCCAATTCCAGCTTGTCAAGGCGCCATGATGAGGAATATCTATCCTGGTGCTAGCAGAGGTTATCAACCGTATCCTCATCCTCACAATAGCATAAACGGAATAAACCGCTATCCTCAGGTAGTATATTTTTGTAGAAAAATATTAACTTTTAGTGGTTGGTTCGTTTACACGGATGGAACATGCGTCAGAAAACTGGGGAAATTAAATTGTAGTAAATTACGTTACTTGTGAAGTTTAAGTTAACTGTGTGTTTGTATATTTATTTGGGGAATTGTGGGATTGTTACATGGTTATTTGGAAATATTTGCGAGGTTTATGGATTGTTGAATTTGGAGGTTTCTGACTTCTGATGTGATTTTTGGAATATTTAGATTTTCGAATTTTTGAGTTTTTATATTTTTGAATTTGCAGATATTCGAATGTGGAGATTTCTGAATTTCTAAATTTCCGAATCTCTAATTTTCCAACCTTCTACGTTTCCAAATTTCTAAATTTCCAAACTTCTAAACTTCCTAACTCTCAAATTTCCAAATTCTCAAATCCCAAACTCTCAAATTTCCAAATTCTCAAATCCCAAACTCTCAAATTTCCAAATTCTCAAATCCCAAACTCTCAAATTTCCAAATTCTCAAATCCCAAACTCTCAAATTTCCAAATTCTCAAATCCCAAACTCTCAAATTTCCAAATTCTCAAATCCCAAACTCTCAAATTTCCAAATTCTCAAATCCCAAACTCTCAAATTTCCAAATTCTCAAATCCCAAACTCTCAAATTTCCAAATTCTCAAATCCCAAACTCTCAAATTTCCAAATTCTCAAATCCCAAACTCTCAAATTTCCAAATTCTCAAATCCCAAACTCTCAAATTTCCAAATTCTCAAATCCCAAACTCTCAAATTTCCAAATTCTCAAATCCCAAACTCTCAAATTTCCAAATTCTCAATTTCTAAATTCTCAAATTTCCAAACTCTCAAATCCCAAACTCTCAAATTTCCAAATTCTCAAATTCCAAATCTCCAAATTTCCAAACTTTTAAACTTCCTAACCTTTAAATTTCCAAATCCCCAAATCTTCAAATCTTCAAATTTCCAAATCTCCAAATTTCCTAACCTCCAAATTTCCAAATCTCTAAATTTCCAAATCTCCAAATTTCCAAACTTCTAAACTTCCTAACCTCCAAATTTCTAATTTCCCATCCTTCTAACTAAATAAATCTCCCTATTTAACAATTCCTCCATACATATAATTTCCTAACACCGTACAAAAGAAGAAATTCTCTTTATAACACTCGTTTCTTAATTTCAATATTCCTGCGTTCTAAGTTGATCGAATTTATTCGACAATCGATACATCATAGCCAACAGCCAAACGTATCCTATCCCAGCGAATGAATTCGATGCGTTTCTCGTTAATGATTTTAACCGAGGTATTAAATTGAAGCGCACCTGAGCGTACATCCGGCGCATCGTTATCGGTCGATGTAGCTAAATTGCATTTCGACTGATTAGTTGGGTCGGACGGATTACCGAATGTCTACCGGTTTAATTAAGCCAATAATTCGTTGAGCGTATCGGTTTGCCAGTAAAAAAGCTCAGAGGTTCCTCTTAATCGGTCCTCCATCTTGAAATTTCAATATGGTCAAATTATTCGGCGATGCTTCTCCCTTTTCCAATATATACATTGTTAATTGTCATTGTCCTTCATTTATTATTTATTACTCTTCATTTATTATTTATTACCCTTCATTTATTATGAGTACTTACGTACTATTCAAAAATAAAGTTTCATAAATTAATTTGTTTAATTTTGTTAGATGTTTGAGGTTATTTTAAAATGGCGGTACGGCAGATGGAAAGTTTATATATTTTATAGGTTTATATGTGAGATTTTATATTAATAAGAATAATTTTGTGGTTACAGATGGGTACAACGTCCTATCCAAGTATGACCCAACCATTTTCCATGTCTCATTCAGCGTCGAATATGTCTGCAGTTACCGGTATGAGACAGGATGCAATGGGTGAGTTAATTAATAACATTACATATTTACACAAAATGTACAAAATTACAAATTAAAATTTTGATCTGCACAAAACTACTCTTAAAGTGAAGATACAATTTTATTTTCTTGTAAAAGATATTGAAATACGTATTCTTTAGAAGGTACATATGTGAAAGAAGTTACATATGATACATATGTAACATATGATATTTATGATACGTACGTGTGATACATTTGTAACACATGATATTTATGATATATATACACATGATAATCATTCAAGAAGTTACACGATACATAAGATACATATGATACTTATGATACATATGACACTTATCACACATATGAATGATTATGATATGTGTGATACATACGTATCATATGTAATTTCTTTTACAGTATGTATCTTCTGAAAGAAGATATTTATTTCAGTATACACAACAAGGTAAAAGATACATATGATTAGTATTCATATATGTAAAAAGTTACATATGATACATATGAATGATTATGACTTGTATAATAAATATCATATATATCTTATGTACCATGTGTAAATTATTGATACATATGAATGATTATATGTATCATAAATATCATATGTATTTTATGTATCATGTGTGACATCTTTCATATATGAATTTCACATTTGTCAATTAGATAAAATTTTATCTTTCTCCAGAACATACATAAACATTATTTAAAAAAAATACACATATGTACAACATAAATATAAATACATTTATTATATGACAAAGTAGAAACTTCCCATAATTAACCCTCAAAAAACAAATTAAATTTCACTCCACACCAAAAGAAGTTTCATCTTCAGACCTCTAAAAACAGAAAATATAAAAGTAGACGCTCGTGTGCTTTCGTCGAAGTTTTCCAGTTATCCCGAGGCATTGGTCCGAGATTATTAAATGATTTTGCAAAACATTGGAACGGAAATGACGGGAATCGGACGTCGGTGCAAACGTTCGTTCGTTCGTTCGTTCAGTCCAAGACGTTCTCTCCATTTCCGCTCGAGCGCCGTCTTATACCATTTCCGGCGCAAGATGGAATATCGCTTTTAAATCGAATCAAGACTATTCGCGAATTGCCTGTCTGCTTCTCTTCGAGTTCGAGTCCTTAGATATTAGGTCCTTCTACCAATATCTCAGCTTCTTCTAACGATTTAACGTCTTAATGGATCGTTCGATTAGAAAGGTTAAATCGATTCATTTAAAAAGTTCGATGACATCTATTAATTAAAGATAATTGACAAATTATTGAACTTTATGTATTATGATGATGTATTTTGAGAGATTAGTATCGTTCATTTAATGTGAATTTAAATTTAGGAAATTTATGAATGCACAAAAAAAAGGAAATTATTTTTGAAATTTTTTATAAATCAAACTTGAAGGACTGAGTAATTAAAAAATTTAGATTTTGTGAACCTTCTAAAAAAGTTAGTATATTGTGTAAAAAAAATAGTCTCAAAGTTTGAGCTGAAAAATTTAAGTAGATGTTTAAAAGTTTACAAAAATTAGAAAGAAAATCTTTCAACTATTTTTTTGTTTAGTTAAAACTAGTTTATAAATAGTTATTCTTTATTGTAACTAATTATGTTTCATCGAATTTATAAGTTACTTCTATTAATTTAATTTAGTTACATATACTTCTATGTATTTAATTTACTTCAACATACTTTTATGTATTTAATTTAAGTTTTGCAATTTTTTTCTACTGAATATACTAACTTCTTAGAGGGTGAGAAAAAGAATTTTTGTTAAGCTAATATTCTAGTGAATATGTGACTAGTTAATTCAAGAAAAATTAATTATTTCTGTAAAACACAGTTCTCGTACCGTTTAAATTTGGCGCCATTTGTCCGCCATTTTGTGTACATTCCCCGAAGAGTACATTTATATGCTTTAAAAATAAAACTTGTCCTTATTAAGACAGCACCTAATTTTGCAGTAAAAATGCCTTATATTTTGTATACTAAATTCTGTAAATTTCGTATTAAATTTTGTAGTAATATTGAAACAAAATGTAATAATATAGAAAATTCTCTGTTTTCAGGAATGTCAGCTGAAGACGAGTGGTACAACAAAAGTATCTCCGCTCTGAGAATGAATACAGCTCATCACCCTAACCTCGCTGCTCCGATGCTGCAATACCAAACATAATTGTAATCGTATATAAAATTCGCAGACAAGTATTTGTGCGTCCCTGTTCCGCGATAACTCACGGCACCGTTCGAACGTGTAGCCAAAACGAAACAAAAGAAGAAGCTTGTTTCAAGAACCACGTGAACAAGTTAGTGAAGCGAAAATCAAACGATGTTTTTTCCACGGATGATCATAAAGAGGAACGCAAGTTGAATTTCTCGATAGGCACTCGTCGAATCGAGATCTTACCAAGATCGTTTACCGATATTATGATAAAAGAAGTCAGCCATGATTATTTACGTTGACGAGATCAACTGACGTGTTTCATCGTAATATTAACGATATTTTTGGTAAATCGACTTTGTTAATATCATTTGATATCGGTTATTATCGGTAAGAAGTATTCGTGTGCGCCGCTATACATACGCGAGTGGTACGAACAGTAGACTCTCGTTATATTGCCGAAAATCGGGGAGCTAAAGACAAGCGAATTAAAGGAAAGATAAATTTGTGAAAGCTAAAATTCGTGAAATATCGATTCTTGCATATGTGAGATAAGATGGACTAAGATGGTGACGGCAATATAACGAGAGTCTCCTGGGTATTCAATTAAGTACACATATTCGCACGTACACCACTAATTACTAGTGCAAATGTTTATGTACACAAACTTCAATTATTCTGTACAAAGTATAATGTATCTTCATATGGTTTTCAGTTTTTGAAGTTCGAAGATTTTTGTTTAGAAGGTGGTTGTATCAAGAATTTGAGGGGTTGATTTTCTTGGATGTAAATAATGATATATAGATCTAAATAATGGGGTAATTTTAGAAAGTTATTTACAGGAAGAAAATTGTATTTAAAGTCGTAAGGTTTATATGTACAATCGGATGCAATAGAAGCTTCTGAAGAGTGTAGGACTTTTAGGTTATGTTTTACAATCATAAATTTATGATGGATTTTTAGCTGTTTTATATGTTTGTGAATTTTGAAATTTGGTTGTTAAACAGTTCTATGAGTGGTCAAGTCCGTACATTTCCTAAGGTTTGAATTTTTTAAGTTTTGAAGTTCAAAAGTTCTGAAACTTGCAAAATTTAGGTGACATCAAATTTCAAATTTTTTTAAATTTCTAAATTTGTAAACTCTTAAAATCTAGATTTGTAAATTCTTAAGTTATTGCAATTTATAATTTGCAAGTTCCTAAATTGTCACTTCCCCAAATTGCCACATGTCAAATTTCTAAATTTCCAAATCCTCATGCTGCAAATTTCAATATTCCAAATTGTCACAGAACTGATTTGCAAATTTCCAAATTGTCATACCCCACATTTGCAAATCCCCAAATTCTCACATCCCCAATTTGCAAAATCCCAAATTCTCACATCCCATATTTGCAAAATCCCAAATTCTCACATCCCATATTTGCAAAATCCCAAATTCTCACATCCCAAATTTGCAAAATCCCAAATTCTCATACCCCATATTTGCAAAATCCCAAATTCTCACATTCCAAATTTGCAAAATCCCAAATTCTCACATCCCAAATTTGCAAATTCCCAAATTTGCAAAATCCCAAATCCTCACATCCCAAATTCTCACACCCCATATTTGCAAAATCCCAAATTCTCACATCCCAAATTTGCGAATTCCCAAATTCTCAAATCCCATATTTGCAAAATCCCAAATTCTCAAATCCCAAATTTGCAAAATCCCCAATTCTCATATCCCAAATTTACAAAATCCCAAATCCTCACATCCCAAATTTGCAAATTCCCAAATTCTCACATCCCAAATTTACAAATCCCCAACTTACCAAAGCACACACCCCTAAATCCTCCATTTCCTAAATATCTCAAAACACCAAATACCAAAATTTCTAAACTTCCCCTGTCTACAATTCCCCAAATCTAGAAACCCTTTAATCAACAATCACCTACTAATGGTACTCCATCTTCCTACTCCGCCATTTTCTCCAAAATTAACTTAGCAAACTCACCCTACTCTTTAACAAAACTAACTAATTAAAATTTAAATATCTTACTAAATAACTTATTTACAACATCCATCACCATGTCAATTCTTAACTTCATTTCTTAAAATTCAATTTAAATTTTCATGACACAACCACCTTCACCATAACCTTAAATTATTTCTTTCAATTCATTTTTCCTTGCAACCGATCGTTTTTCGCGTGTGTTAAAAATTGCTTCAAAAACAATTGTTTTCTTTACGTTATTAATTTCTTTCGTATTACATTTCGTTATTGGTGTATAAAGTTTGATGTTAAGCGACTAGAAAAGTATTTTGTTGTTTTGCAACGTGTTCGCATATTTATAGTAATCGATATTGTATATGCAAAAGTGGAACCATAAACACGGTCCACGATCTTTAGTTTCTCAACAACGATTCAAGAGAATAAAAAAAAAAGGAAAAAGAAAATGAAAAAAGAAACCGACACATTTTCGTTAACGACGATTGTAAATAAGCGAGAGGTACATACACACTGTAATCGACAGATATCCTAGAATATGCGATTTTTCAATGTCCTTTTAAAACTGTAAGCATACCTACCCTTAGTGGAAATATTAGGCATTGATTTGTGTGCTTATGTTGGCCAGAATTTGAAATAACCGGGGGTGGGAGGCTGAACAAGGGTAACAATGCCTTGCGTTCAAAATTTGAGAGGCGCCAGGGTTTCGATTGCAAATTCTCTTATTTTTTATTCAGAATAAATATTGTCACGCTGAAGAAATCTTCCATTAGGGTGTTTTTAAAATGCGGTTCAAATTTCTTCCAAAATCCTGTAATCTCATAGTTTCAAATTTTCAAGTATTTTAATTTTTTTGTATTTCATGTTTTTATGTAATTTTGAAATTTACGAAATTCTCAAATTTTTAATTATCGCAATTTTCAAATTCCGAAACTCTTCAAAATTCGTAAACATAAGTTCTCAAATTAAATTAATTCCAGAATAAAAAATTAATTCCAAAATTGCTTTGATGAGCAAAGAGAAAAATTGGAATATAGAAATTTGAAATATTTGAACGTGTCTCCCAATATTTATGGACATTTGTGTAAATAAAACTGTAACCATTAATGTTAGATCATTTCATTTTCCAAATTGAACTTCCTTTCGAAATTTATAAATTTCCTCTAATTTCAAGTGTTTCAAATTCAACAATTAATTTCTAACTAAATACGTAAGTCAATAACGATCAATTAACAAAAATACCCTCAGTCAATAACGAGCTTTCACAAGTAGACTAAACTTCTTTTCGACGTTAAAAAAAATTGCAACAATTAATTTAATCAGTGAAATGATCGATTTGTCCCTGGCGCCTTTCAGTGGTGATATTTGGATCTGTCCAATCAACATTCGTCTATATTGGTGTCATTTTCTGATAACTGTCTAATCAATATATTGATCAAGAACGGAGCTGCAGAACTACATTGTTTTTCGTGTAGTTATCACTGCAATCTTATTACTAATATCGCTCGCGGTGTTCCACGCGAAATGTTCCTAAAAATTTGTAACATATCACACACTATACAAAAACACACACACATACATACATACAGAAGCATTCATACGAAGAGATGATATGTGTATGAGTCACTGTCGTACACGAGAAAACATATACACGTACACACTTTCACACATGCACCAAGTACATACGTCGAGGAGTAAAGATTAAGTGAAGTTTAAAATGGTTAAGTGGAAATGCATACCGCGCGAGCGTAATATAGTTTTAAGCAAGGGTCACGTATTGTACGTATGTGTTGTACATAGACTAAATAAAACTTACATTTAAAACTATATTTTGTTGTGATATTTTACTGTTGGAATTTAAGGTCAAGGGCAAATCTAGTTACCCTGGGAGTAATGTTAGGAAATAGTGTTTTTTTAGGAACTTAGGGAGTGACTTGTTATTTGTGGATTTTTGGAAATTTGGGGAAGCTTGAGATTTGGGGATTTTGGAATGTGGGAATATGGGGAAGTGGGGACTTGAAAGTTTGGAGATTTAGGGATGGGAGGGTGGAGGGATGATTTTGAGATTTAGGGATGGGAGGGTGGAGGGATGATTTTGAGATTTTGGGGATGTTGAAATTTGGGGTTTAGGAATTTGGGGATTTGAGGATTTGGGGATGTGGGAATTTGGGGATGTGGGAATTTGGGGAGATGGGAATTTGGGGATGTAGCAATTTGGGGAGATGGGAATTTGGGGATGTAGCAATTTGGGGAGATGGGAATTTGGGGATGTGGGAATTTAGAGATGTGGAAATTTGGGGATATGGGAATTTGGGGACGTGGAAATTTGGGGACGTGGCAATTTGGGGAGATGGGAATTTGGGGATGTGGGAATTTAGGGATGTGGGAATTTGAGGATGTGGGAATTTGGGGACGTGGAAATTTGGGGATATGGGAATTTGGGGATGTGGCAATTTGGGTACGTGGCAATTTGGGGATGTGGGAATTTGGGGATGTGGGAATTTGGGGACGTGGCAATTTGGGGACGTGGCAAATTGGGGAGATGGGAATTTGGGGATGTTGGAATTTAGGGATGTGAGAATTTGGGGATGTGGGAATTTGGGGACGTGGAAATTTGGGGATATGGGAATTTGGGGATGTGGAAATTTGGGGATGTGAGAATTTGGGGATGTGGGAATTTGGAGAGATGGGAATTTTGAGGATTTGAGAATTTGGGGATGTAGAAATTTGTGGATCTAGGAATTTGAAGTCATATGTATTTGGGGATGTTGGAATTTGGGGATGTAGAAATTTGTGAATCTAGGGATTTGAGAATATAGGCACTCAGAGATGTTGAATTTTAGGATTTAGAGATTTTGGAACCTAGAAATTTAGGAAGCTCAAATTCAAGGACAGATTATTATGAAACAGCCAACTATCTGTCGCCCAGTTAACTAACGACCACTTATCTAGCAGACAATTGTACAGCCCATAGATATCCACCATGTAATTATCTAAGCAAATGTATTAATTTTTCTAAATATTTCTAGTACAAATATTCTGAAAAAATGCTTCAAATATTTTTAAATAACTTTGCATTGTCATACAGACAGGATAAAATAAAAGGAGAAAATCATATAGCGGTTGGGATCGAAAGCATTATAAATTTACCACACGAAATTGATCACAAGCTTAATTTAAAATATTATTAAAATCATTTAGTAAAATCGAAATTCATTCAGTAACAATGAGTGGGTATTTTATTTTGCGAACAGCCACTTAGCTGTGAGTATCTTATTTGTTCATCAATTTTTTTTTGTTCACAAAAAAAGTTACAAATGTTTGTTGGTTCAGAGGTAACTTTACACAATATATCTAATTAAAATCTTCCATTTATAAACACACATACCACTATTTATACACAATTCTTTACAAATGTTTATTTCAATAAATAACTTTTTTGCAGGATCGTTCATCACCCATCATATTAAAGATTACGATGAGTTTTTACACATTTACACAATACATACATATAAACAAAATAAATCTCCAATTGCAAAAATTCAAATTTTCTACAGTCATATTATGTTTTCGGTATCATGCAAATTTATATACTCGAATGAATTTGTATGTGCAATTTGCGATTGTTATTTTTTATTTAAATATGTTTAAAAGTACAGATATACACGTATGCAGAAATAAAATTGTTATGTGATCAGGCAATTAACAGGCAACAAAAGAATACACTTTAAAAATTATAAATCACAGTATGCAAGGATAGAGATTACATGAATTCAAGTTTAAATAATTTGTTACGAATTGTCAATGGATTTTTATAACTTTTGTTTACAATCATTTAATCCTTCATTGCATTCTGTTGGTTATTATTTTATAAAACTATATTTTATTTTTATTTTATAAAACACTAATGGACTGAATATTTAATTGTTAATAAAATTATCAAAGTCATTAAGTATCTTTTGTAATTATATTTCAAATTTTTTTTTTAAAAAGAATATTATAAAAAAAAGTTTCATTAAACTTGTGAGGGACGAAAATTCCTTGTTGTAAAAAAAGTAAATAGTTAAAAAAATTATGCAAAGAAGGATTAATTTTTGTAGCTATTTTTAAAATCTGAATTAATAACATATACATATATACAGCCTTTGCAAAGAACAATTTTTAAAAACGTATAGCAGCAAAAAATAAATATGACTGTACGAGAACGTATAAATTTTGCAATTAATAAAATACATAAATTTAAATATTGAATTTACAGCGGTTCACGAAAATAAATTTCGAATAAATACGAAACATGTTCTCATTCTTCTCATTTTATAATATTAACTATTTACATGTATCTTACCAAGTAATTAAATTAATTTCCTTCATTTTTAATTCAATTGTTTTTAAAACAATGGCTAATATTTAATTTTATGCTAATGTGGCTATAGCTGGTCTATTATTATCTTCTTTTAACAAAAGCGATTCTATGATTTTGTTAGTTTGTCGACACAAACTGCGTGCAAATTTTCAATTAACGAAAGTTCAAAACTAAAGTGAAACATCTACTAAAAATTTTAGAATAAAGTTTGTCGACAGACAAACAGAAAGCTAACGGAAAAAGCTGTACTACGCGTTGCTAAGGAAGACATTTTAGGAATAAAATGTCGTTCATTTTGTATGGAAACCCTCAGAGAATAATTATTCTCAGTTATGATTTCGACCTGTTACGGATTTCAAGACTGAAATCTCAAAAATTGTCAATTCTTAAATTTTCGGATTAATAAATTACTAAATTCACTAATTCTTGAAGACACATTTTCAAATTGATAAATTTTTAAATGTACCAATTTAAAAATCTTCAAATCTTCAAATTTAAATTGGACGAATAACTGACACTGTTGTGAATATTTTACCAAAAAAATTTGAATATTTTAATCAAAATAAAATTTTATATTTTTCAAAATCCTCAAAGTTGAAGCTGCCAAATTTTCTTCTCAAAATAACCTCACAATCACGAGGGTTAAATTTTATACGAATGTCAAATATATTCATACGTGACATTTCGTATATTGCTGCAAGTAGTCAAATACTGTGGCTATCAAACAATGAAATAACGATGTCAGCGTCTTAGTTGCTAATTTAATATCAGACACCACCATCGGTTACCCTTCCAGTGATGTCTTCATTTATCCTAGGCCTAAAACGTACTTGGGTAAATTGTACGCAAATCGAGGAATTGCCATAAAAACAGATACTCTGTAAACAAGACATAAATAATTATTTTTTTGGTGAACGAAGAATTTATTTATTCTGGATTTAAGATTTCTGCTTTAAGCATTTATATTAAATATCATCATAAATTCTTTATCATGTAAAAAATATTAAATTGAGAATTAAGAACATAAGTACTTATCTATAAAAGAAATGCATTATACTCTCAAATTCGGAAATCCATAATTTTAACTTAGAATGAAAATGTAAAGAAGGGAAGAACCTTGTGACGTAGAACAGAATTATAACATAAAATATTTGACATAAACTTATGTTACAATTCAATTTCTACAAGTATTGATTTTTAAATCCAGTATATACAAGATGTTACATACCTATTAAAAAGCGGTGTATATCAGAGTGTAGATAACCACCATGTTACAGGTTCCACCACCACAAGTTATCCATCACTAAATCTTAAGGTATCTGCTAGTGTGAATATATACAGGTTGTCAAATTTTAATCTGTTCTCGCAATTATCTCTTGAACTACAACAAAACAAACTACCTAATATCATAGCAATTAATATTTCATTGTATTTAAAATCTTTTTTACAAAAGTATACAATTTTTAACTTGACTCCTAGACAAAACTTACAGCTGGAAAAAAGAGTTCAGGAGACAATTGTGTGGACAATTAAAATAGGATTAAAACATGAAAAATAAAGTATGAGGGTGCATAAAGAAATTTCATATTAATTTTGTACATATTTCTAGGAATTCATTTTTGAAATTGCAGGTTTTAATTTATTTACAATATGTGATATTTGAAAGTTACAGTATAAACTAGTCATCCTATCTGAAAATACAATACTAAAAATATACAAGCATTTAATCACATTCAATCTCTATTTTACTAGCGATATTTAAAATTAAAGCGTTTGCACTGTATAATGAAACTTTCTTTTTAATATCATACTTTCTGATACAATCATATCACACATGTACGTACATGTTGGAATAAAAATATGCTAATGTTGCGTACTTCGTTTCTGTTGAAAAAATTATGATGCTACTTGTTTTGCGAAAAAACCTCTGGAACATTCGAATAAAGTATGTATCTGATGTAATATTTAAATAGAATATTCATATTTAAACAGCAAGTCCATGCACATATGAATCAACAATCAACAGAACAGAGTTGAATTAAAATCAAAGTGCATAAATGAAATGCAAGATCATTTGTATCAGTATGTTGACAAAAAAAAGAAATACAAATTAAGATTTTTTTTTTATAAATTAAGCAAGGGGTGAAATCAATTATGTACAGCGTGCAGATTAGTTCAATTTTAATAGTTATTCTAAAACTACTGTTTATAACATTTTAAATCACAGCATTTGTTATTCGCAGTCCATTTGCATCTGTGTGCAAAATTGTAGAGATTTCTAGTTTGTAAGTATTGTCATCAGGACTGACAGTATCATAAAGTATAGTTATACAAGAAATCGTCACTACTCAGAGAATTGTTAAATTAACGAAGGACAATAATTATGTACAGATATCGCAATTAAAAGATAACAAAGAAACAGTATTTAATTAGTTTAGAAGTTATATTTTATGAAGATTTATTCAGCGTTTCTCAAACTGTATTGTTGACAAATATTTTAGTTGTATTTATAATCCTGCCTTATTTTTCTTTCATTACAATTAATTATATCTCTCATTCAGTGAAATATAAAAGTTTGAGAAACTCTGTCCTGCATATGATGAATTTCGACAATCGTTACTTTTATTCTTCATTAATTAATCGTCACATGATAAATTGAACAGAAAAAAATAATTTATTCTAATTATATACAAAGTAACGTTTGTCAAAAGTAAAAAGGAATTGTTATCACTTAGAAGATTATAACTTAAAGTAATAGATAGTGTATTAAGAGTATGCAAAAGTTTTATCATTCACGATAACGATTATCAATTTACGTAGAAAAAATGGCGCTGGTAAAGTCATTGTTAATATATTTACATTTTTAGTTAGCGCGAAAATGAAAACTGTTTATAATTGAAGTAATAAAAAATATTTCCGCTACAAGAAATCATTAAAGGAAAGATGTCACAAAAAGTAATACCAGGTGTCATTATTATAACTGTCATAAACAATTTTAAAATAATAATAACTATTAATCATTGTTTTAAAAATTACAGTGGTTTTATTAGTAATGTACCTCGTTCCATTAACATACGTTTCTTTGTAAAAGATTTTAGAAATGATGGAAACTTATGCATACCCCTAATTAGTATATGTACAGAAAGATTAACTATATTCAAGTAAGTGCTTTTGTAGCAAGTATGCGTATTAGTACTTGAAAGCACGTATCCATTTACTAACCACTACGTAACAGCCATTTTTGAGCAATAAGTGTGCAATTAACCTATCTATAAAATTAAATATCCACGCGATTTGTATTAATATCGCCGGAATAAGAATAAAGCCACCAATCATGTACGTACGATAAAGCAAGTCCATTGTAAATCCAAGCCCTCCAACCCGTTCTTGTTTCACCATCTATCCTTGACTCGAGACTCTGGCACAGTGCTTTGCGATCATGGCTTCTTCCACTTCGTAAATCACAGAGTAACCTCTTTCGACATTCGTCGTTACATGGCGGTCGTACGGGAGAATTTTTGTAATAATTTCTGTAAAATATTACGAATAAACTGACGAATAATTTTACAAGTAAAAAGTTCAAGAGAACAATCATTATAGACCATTTCACATTAACATGGAGATGTTAGCATAAGTTACAAGAAAGTAACTTATCACACACGAAATTCTTGAAAGAGGACATGAACTTCTAAAAATCAATGTTTATGATTAATAAAATTATGTACAAGCTTAAAGACTACAATAGTGAAAGGGTTGACTATGAAGAGACATACTGATACATACTTATAATAAAGATCAAAAAGTGACGGTTCATTGCTCATCTTATCTATTAACGAGTCCCAATCTTTAGGTAATAACGAGGACATTTGATATGCCTGTCGTGCACTGTACATCTTGTGCCAAATAGGATAATCGTACAGATTTGCTTCCTTCAGATTCATAACCCAACTTTCGTGGTCCACAACCATCTATAATAAAATTGTATTCATTTACATTATTTGTAAGAAAATATTTTTAATTTTGCATTAATGTTCCACTAATTGTACCATGTATTTTCAATGTATACTTACTCTGGTGGTCTTCGGATGATCACCATCAACGTAGTATATTCTGTATCCTGGATTGAGATCAGAATAGGGGGTAACCGACGGTCCTACATATGCTATACTAACAGCTCTTCCTAGGTCACTACTATCATAAAACAGCTGAAACTCATCGTAATGAGTATGTCCAAAGAATTGTGCTGCGATTGTCGATTCGTACCTAGACACAAAACACGTCAAGTTATTTACACAATGTTACTGACTAAATTTTCTTAGAGAACAACACACGAGTTTATTAGTATTCAACAAGTTTAACTAGTATTCATTAATTAAAAAGTGAAAAGTGATAGACATAATATTATCATACTAACCGGTTTATGATCTGATAATAGTTTCTAGACCACACCTTCAAACAATCCGAATGTCCAGGTGGTATATGACCAATAATATGAACTTTTTCTCCATTCATCTCTGCGCCTTGCAATTCATAAACAAGCCACTGCAATTCGCTGACCGGATCCGTGCTATTTAATAGCAACCACCAGTTTTTATTGTTACAATAATTCATGTTTACAGACAGAATCCTGAAGCCTGGACGGACTAAGACCGAATAGAATGCACCACGTCGGACAGTGTGCGAAACACCTGCTGGTAGCCAACGTCTCCAATGTTTATCGAGTGCATCGTACAGCCAGGATATATCATTGTCTTTTGGCACGAATGGTGGTGGGAAGCTGGAACATTTATTCATTATGTTATTAACTCTTTAGGTATGTGATAGGTTCTGATTGACATGCGAAGGTGAAGGTAACAGTAGTTTAGCTTTGTCTTGTAATTGTATGTAATAAGTATATTCTAGCAACAGGATAGAGATGGTTCAGAGATGGAAGAGTAGGTTGTTATCTTATAGAAGGTGACAGTAAAAATATGGCGTTGTTTAGTGACATTTTTGGTAACTATAACAAGTATAGAAGCTGAGAGCGTGAGAGCTATAGCTTTATGAATTTCTGAGCTATGTATCACAAAGCAGACTTAAGCATTTCACAACAAGTAATGAAATGTTCATACTGTACATGTTTATATAAACAATTCTATATTCTGGTCTGAGGAGCTCCCTTCAGCAGTTCTGAAGTTTATGGTTATTTTATATCCTGGTAATTTTCTTGTCAGCATAAGATCTCGTTTGCCAGTTAATGTTTCAGTATTTCAACAGCTCATAGCAAAAATGTAAAATGATCTTGAATAGTAAGGAAAAAAAGGTTTATGAAGTAAAATGACGCACCTGTTAACTGGAGCACTTTCATGGTTTCCCAGAGCCGGAAAGATCGGTATTCCAGGAAACATTTCAATGAGCTGTGTAACCGTCTCGTGCAACACTTTCAGATTTTCTTCCCGCGTCTGATTCCATACATCATGAGGTGGTAAATCACCGGTCCACAGTATATAATCTATATCCTGAAAATTAACATTACATAAATCGATCAGCTTCGTCTGCTTTCAATTATGAATTTCAGCTCTTATAACTTGACGTATGTCAACGTATGTCAATTATTACGTAACTCAATCTATGATTTTATAATATATCCTTGGGATAACTAGTTCTCGGTGTTTTGATAAATAGACTCTCGTTATATAGTTAGGTTGTAAACAGGTTCTAGTCAGTTAGAGACTTTAATAGACTATATCAAGTGTCTTCTATAACATCTTTTAACGCCTTAACTTCTTCTTTAACTAAAAATTTAATTATCATATGTAAAAATTGAGGATCCTATTAGAGTGTACATGTCAAAGAATTCTAAACTGCTACTCCCACAGTCCCGGCAATATAACGAGAGCCTATCTATAGAAAAAGAACACTCACTGAATGTGTGTCAGCAATGTGTTTGAGCATATGCTCAACGGTTCTTTTTGGCGTGTCACATTTTCTATAATCACCCCATCGGCCAGCAGCTGCGGCTGGAGTCAGGGGTGCTCCGTTGGTCAATCTGCAGCATAATGGTTCGTTACATTCTGCATTGGCACCCTCTTGATAATAAGGGTCGTAGTGGGTATCAGAGATATGAAGGACTTTGAAGGTCGGCGCACCTTCTTGAGGTGGTATAGGAGGTTTTACGGGTGGTTTGTTCACCGGTGGAAACACCACTTCCCACTCGTGCAGAGGATTGTATGTGTTGTCACATGCGTCGCCTATCACGAAGCTACAAATCTGATTTGGTCCCATGTTTACTTGCTTCAAAACGTAGATTACTTCCCCCTGAAAGAGTTCAATGATATTACATTCAAATCATAAGGGGTGTAATTTGTTACGTTTAGGTCTTACGCCATTTTAATAATCTAAAAATAACAAATATGTAGGAAGTCTCTACATGTACCCATCAAATAAACTTGTGTGCATAATTTAAAATTTATGCGACAACAAAAGATTTTTATTTGGCAAATTTAATATTGATTCAGAAAATCTTAACTTTTATTTATTTCAAATTACAACTGTACATAATGCTTACAAGGTTGCATGAAGTATTTGAGGTTCTGCACCGCCATTTTGTATTCTTTCTTGTATCTAAGACTTCTGAAAGAAGTAATACAAAATGGCGGTGTGATGCGGACAGAAAAGTCAACTTAATAAATATGAAAGCACCTTTTGTACGTTTTGTACTTTTCCAAAATGCTGTTACATAATGACACAGCTTTTCTATAATTATTAGGTATAAGTTTGAGGTATTCAAAATGGCGTAGCCTCTTACGGATTCAAAATGGAACTTACCCCAAAGAGTAAAGTAACACCCTGGCAAACTCGGGGACTCTGAATATTAAGAGATACGCAAAACTGGTAAATACTGGTCATAATTTCTTCATCACTCTTGCCGACCTTGATATAGTGCAGAAGAAGTCCAGCGCCAACTTTGCACGCTGTGCAGGACACTTTTGACATTACTGACGTTTCGACTTCCATCATTACTTGTCTTAGGTCTAAGAGTTTTAAAGCTTTGTCTACGAATGTTGAGAGGTGTCCACTTGATTGGACGGATTCCATTTCCCATAGCATTCTTGAATAATTGTACTGAAACGATTTATTATTTGTTTAAAATATAGATAAGATTTGTTACACTTGTAAATTAGTAAATCTGCAAATATGAATATTTTTATTTAGAATAATTTCCGAATTTATAAATTTGTAAATAGACTTGGTAAAGAAAATTTGAAAGTTTGAAAAAGTGAAACAAACTTGAAAAATTTATGAAATTGTTAATTTATGAATTTAAGAATTTGTAAATTTGTGAAATAATGAATACGTGAACTTGTGACATCAACTCCGTAAATCAGTGAATCCATGAATAAAAAATGACATTCTATTTCCTATATATACGAAATGAACTGCAGTTCCTGGGAAGAAATTTAAATTTCTCCGATGTAACGTAAATTATAAGGAAAAATTGCAACTAACGACGTTAAAACTTTCATGGCGAAAGTCACTGACATTGGACTGCGTATATACGTGTAAATACGGATAAGAAAGATAGCAGTCGATCAACTTGGTGAAAGTATTTTGGCACTGAAAGTGAGAGTAGACGACATCGTTTCGTCGAACAAAAACTTCGAGAAAACACGGAAGAGTCGAAAGATAAACGAGTTTCGAGTTGTGCAAAATTTATTGAAACTGCCAATTTTATTTCTATATTATTTGTTTGGAGAATCCTAAAATTCCAAGTTATTTATTCAAAGAAATGTGTAACATAACAAATTTGAGTTGATTCAAAAGCATATATCTGATTTGATATTAATAGCTTTAATTCTATATAATTTTCCTCTTGCAAATTACAGCTTTTATGTAGGCCTCATAAGAAATTTTTCAATTTGTAGGAGATTAATATTATACAAGACAAAATTGGTTTGTTTTGTAATTTTTATTAGTAAGTCGTACCCATCACTATTTGGAACAAATGATCAATTGGAACAAATGAACATTATTTTGATCAAAGACCAAAAATATTCTTCATTTAATGCTAGATACTTGTATATTAATTTACAACCATGATTTAATACCAAATATTTCAATTATACAAAATTATGTTGCTTTGTCATTTGTATTAGTAAATCGTACCCATCACTATTTGGAACAAATGAACATCATTTTGATTAAAGACCAAGAATAATTTTCATTTAATGCTAGATACTTATGTATTAATTTTAACCATCATTTGATAACAAATATTTCAATTATACAAAATTGACTTGTTTTGTAATTTTTATTACCAAGTCGAACCCATCACTATTTGGAACAAATGATTAATTGGAACAAATGAACATTATTTTGATTAAAGATGAAGAATTAATTTGAGAAACGAAATGTTACCCGTGAAAGTTGGTCAGAACTGGTGCCGTTAATAACGAAAGTGTCTGCAGTTGGAGGCAAGTCTCTGAATCTGTCAGTCAAAGGTAAAACGGTAACATCAAATCTTTCTGCGGCGCTTGCTCTGGCAGCGAACCATTCGTCTGCAAGCTGCGTCCAGTTGGTCGCCATTATTTCTGCTTCTCTTCTTGACCGACTTGTGATGGGCTTTCCTGTACAAACCAAAAAAGAACCAATACAGAATTTTACAAAATCATAAATTTATTATTAGTATACTGTCAGTAGTTATTGTTACTAATATTTTATTAGTACATCGATAGTATTATTAAAAATTAGTCAAAGACAAAAATAAGTAACATTTCTTCATTCATGATGAAAATAAATAAAATTTCATATCAGGAAAAATCAGTAAAATTTTTTTCAGATCAAAATAAAGAAAATTTCTTCATCTGAGACTAAATAAACAGAATTATATTTCAGAGCAAATTAACAAAATTTCTTAGCTTTGATCAAATAAAATATCTTCGCTTGAAGCTAAATAAGCAAAATTTCTTTAGAATAATAACTAAATAAAATTTCATTTAAGAAACAAAAAAAAAAAGACTAACCAAATAAAATTTCTTTGTTTTTTTTTTTGAAATGTTAGTCAGCCTAACAGTGCGTCATCGAACGTCAACCATATAAAAATGCAGTTATTCAATATCTTTCAAGTAACGTTTATTCAATCAATTGTCACGTGCGAAGATAAACAAAACGCTTTTCAGTTCGAAAATGTTCACGACGTTTATCTTTAATACCATTTTTATGTTATCTGTTTAACTTATTAAGAACAATGAACAGCGAACATGTCCAGTTTTTCAGACGTTGAGGGTCACGTTCGTATTGTATACAGATGACTGTTGTTAACTAGGAAAGATAAGAAACTCGTGGTCAAAGAGAAAAACAATTGTGAAAAGTACAATCACTGGGTAGGAAATGACAAAGAACAGATAAAACTTTGATTCGGCATGCAGTGTGGTATAATATACGTACCGATGGAGGACTTCAACGTCCCAATAAGAAGAAGGCAAATGAGGATGTTCTTTAGGATCCATGTTTGATTTGGCATGCTATTTTAGACTCTTTGGTATTGTCAACTGTAACAGATATAATATGTATTTGTTAATTAAATTTCTGTAAGGAATATTTTTTATAAATATAAAGATATATACTCTGGATAAGTTTAATTTAGCAATATTAATTTTAGGCAAGTTTCTTGAATTGGGTCGTAAACTTCTGGTGAAACTTGCTTTCGAAAATTATAATTTTTCGTGACCAGGTTTGGGATGTATTTTACAGTCTCGAAATTAAAAAATTTCACAATTGCACAATTCCACAATTCTAAAATTCTGAAATCCCAAAATCTCAAATTCCCAAATTCTCAAATTCCCAAATTTCCAAATCCCAAACTCTCAAATTTTCAAATTCTCAAATCCCAAACTCTCAAATTTCCAAATTCTCAAATTCCAAACTCAAATTTCCAAATTCTCAAATTTCCAAACTCTCAAATCCCAAACTCTCAGATTTCCAAATTCTCAAATCCCAAACTCTCAAATTTCCAAATTCTCAAATCCCAAACTCTCAAATTTCCAAATTCTCAAATCCCAAACTTTCAAATTTCCAAATTCTCAAATTCTAAACTCTAAAATTTCCAAATTCTCAAATTTCCAAACTCTTAAATCCCAAACTCTCAAATTCCAAACTCTCAAATTCCCAAATTCTCAAATCCCAAAATCTCAAATTCCCAAATTCTCAAATCCCAATATCCCAAAATCCCAAAATCCCAACATCCCAAAATTCCAAAATCTCAAAATCCCAAAATCTCTCAAAAAATTCTAAAGTTCCAAATCCTAAAAATCCCCAAATTATTAAATATATCCCTCTTCATCCTAACTTTTCCCACAACCCAAATTAAAAAAGATATTTTTGTGTCACCCAGTAGAAACACCCTGTACTCTCATAAATGTGTCACATGATTGAAGAGGACGTTTTAAATTTTGAACGGTGCCTGTGACTAACTGTTACTCTCAATGTAGGACACACGGACACATACATATGATTTAATTCAATAATTTTTATTCAGTTACCGACTACCATGAAACAATAACTTATTTTCTACAGCACACAATTTATTACATAATAACTTATTGCACCGTAACGATTTCTTAAAAAAAAAAAAAAGAATTTCTTATTGATATAATTAAAGTAGAGCGAGAACTAATTAAATTTAATCAAATGTTAATTGAATGTTAATTTGCAATCTGAATTGGTAAATACATAATGTATTCAGGTATATTGCATGTATATGTAAATATAAATTAAATCGTTATGGTAAAATGTTATTTTCAATTTCATTCGGTGAAGAACAGTTACATATCTTCTTTGTGTAAATTAATTCATTATAATACTGGTTTCCTAGATAATTACTGTTCGCGTGAATATTAATTAACTACACCGTAGAGACTTAACGGGAAGACTATAGAAGTGTACATAACAACATTTTTCAACTTTATACATTTCAAAATTTTTATACTTGAGAACTTGTTATTTTTCAATTTGAAAATTTCTAAATTTTGAAATATATAAATTTGTGAATTCGCAACTTTGTAAATTTCAACGTTGTAAATTTTTAACCTTGTAAATATGCAATTCTGTAAATTTCTAACCTTGCAAAATTTGCAACTTTGTATACTTGTAGCTTTGTAAATTTGCAACTTTGTGAATTTCTAACCTTGTAAATTTTCAACCTTCTAAACTTGCAACCTTGTAAATTTCTGACGTTGTAAATTTGCAACCTTGTAAACTTGCAATTCTGTCAATTTCTAAGCTTGTAAATTTGCAACTTCGTAAATTTCTAACCTTGTAAATTTTCAACCTTCTAAACTTGCAACCTTGTAAATTTCTGACGTTGTAAATTTGCAACCTTGTAAACTTGCAATTCTGTCGATTTCTAAGCTTGTAAATTTGCAACTTTGTATACTTGTAGCTTTGTAAATTCGCAACTTTGTGAATTTCTAACCTTGTAAATTTTCAACCTTCTAAACTTGCAAGCTTATAAATTTCTGACGTTGTAAATTTGCAACCTTGTAAACTTGCCATCCTGCAAATTTCTAAATTTGTAAATTTGCAACTTTGTAAATTTCTAACCTCGTAAGATTCTAACCTTGTAAACCTGCAACCTTATAAATTTCTAACCTAACAAATTTGTAACCTTCTAAATTGTGTAACCTCGTAAATCTACATATTAATAAACATGAAATTACGTAAAACTAAAAGCTTAAAAAAAATAAAATCATCAGACAAAAATCGCCTTAGAAAGCGATCACGATGCAAAAAGGAAGTGAAGAGACAGAGTTCCACAATTGTGACTTTGAAGAAATCAGGTCCCCAGATTGGGAACATGGGCAAGTAAACGTTTAGCAAATAGTAGGTAGAACTTCCAATTCCAAGCATTAACATGTTAAATAGTCGAGCATGCAAAGTAGTCTATGAAATTGCATACCCGATGCATGCTCTTCCGATCGTAACGCGGCTATCGCTTTGCAGTGGGTCAGTGGGATCTGTTTTGGCGAAAGTTTCGATCGTATTTAACCGAGATTTCCTCGAGATTTTCACAACGTTTACCGTCAATGAACGTAGCAAATGACTGTAAACAAACGAACAGCCTACAGCACTTAGCATTTAGTATCATTCGAATAATATTCGGAATTGAAGTTTTAAATAAAACTATTTTCAAAATCAATAATTTTTTTATTTAATTAAAGCATTATTATAAGTTTGTACTAATTAAAAATTATTACGAATTGTAGTACTCGTTTAATTAATTTTATACAATGTTCTTTGAAATTAAAATTGAAGATTAATAATGAGAAAAGAATTATAAGATTTAATTTATTAATTACTAGAAAGAAATATTAAAATTAATTGTTAAAAACACGATAAGTTTCAAATTTACACATTTAATTTTTCTATTTTTTTGTTAGAGAGAAACTACGTTTAAATTTACCGCCATTTATAAGCAATATGGCGGAGAATCCAACAATGCTACATATTTCACGAAAATTTCTGTAATTTTACTTACAGAGCAAAATTTTATTAAAATCTTTGTGATACACATCAAGTATTTCGATTGATAAAATTTCTTAAAAAGAAATTATATCGATTTTATCAATGTTAAGGCTTTATGAAGCATCGTAAGTAACAGTGACACCGTTCGAAATTTTTCTGCCATTCTCTTTCTTTCAAGTATTCGATTAAATTACCTACATCTCAGACGATGGTGACCTCCATAGCAAACTTCTTAATAAATATACAAATCTTTTTATCAATGAAAGTTTAATTTAATTGCATTTCGACTTTTTATTACATTCGTTGAAATATCATGTTACATTAAGATTTGATTACATTGCGCTAATTAAAAGATGATTAATTTACAGTAAAAACTTCACGTGCATAAAGCAGATATTAAATTTACATAAATCAAGGTAAATACGAGGTTGCATTATACTTTCGATCGTTAATAAACAAAAAGATATCAATTAAGTTCAAGCGCTGTAAGAAAAGTAAGCGCATACCATTTCGTTTTTCTGCTAAACCATTCATTCGTTACCAACTAACCTTATAATCTTACGTTCTATTTTCTTTGGCTAAAACAAGACTTCCCAAACTTTTATGGACCGAGACCCACTTTCGAAAACTGTAATTTTCCGCGACCCACTCGTCGTAATTTGAGGTGGATTTTTTTAAATACGAGTCTTTAAAGTTTGACTCTTCTTGTTTTTCATATATATAATTTTCAAAATTTTAATATATACAATTGTGTACATTTTCAGATTTACACAAATTTCAAATATATTGTTAAGATTGAAAGACCCTAAGGACTCAAAAGTTAAAAAATCCCAAATTCTAAGTTTCAAAATTATAAAATTGTAAAATTGTGAAATTGCAAAATTACATACCCAAAGATTTTTAAAGTAATGAAGTATCAAAACAATTTTTAAATTCCAAACTTCCAAAACTCAAAGATGTAAAAATTACAAAATTTTAATCTCTGAGTTTCAAATTTTCAAAAGTAAAAAAATTTTGAATCCCAAAATTGCAAAGTTCCAAAATTTCAAAATTTCAAAATATCAAAGTGACAAAAATATAAAACACCAAAATTCTAATGCCCCAAATAAAAAAATCCAAAATCCCAAAACTGTAAAATAAAATTCCAGAATTCCCAAATTTAAAAATTCAAAAATTCCACAATTCCCAAATTTAAAAAATTCCAAAAACCCAAAACTGTAAAATAAAATTCCAGAATCCCCTAAATTTCAAAAACTCCAAAATCCCAAACCTAAAAAATAAAATTTCAGAATTCCCAAATTTCAAAAATCCAAAATACCAAACCTATAAAATAAAATTCCAGAATTCCCAAATTTCAAAAATTCCAAAATCGCAAGACCCCAAACATAAATTCCAAAACCCTAAATTTTCACAGATTCCAAATACCAAATACCTCAATTAACAAATCTAAAAAATTCCAAATCATTTCAAAGCAAAAATTCCAAAGTCATAACCTGCAAAATTCTCCGATTAAAAACCAATAATTCTCCTACTTTACTGCTCTCAAATTCGACACACGTCTCCTGATATTCGATTCGTTCCGAAGTAGCTCGAGGCCATCTCTATTAAAAGAAGGAGATCGATCAAAAATGTTACCAACAAAAATAACGGTGCCCCGAAAAAAACATTGAATCCCCTAGTCACAGTAAGAATTTTAAAGGTCCAAGTGATGAATCAAACGGTTAGGAATGAGTAAAAGAGCCGAGTGGAATGAACGGTTCACCGTTATTCGACCCACCAAGGGGCCTTGCTGTTGAAACAAGTCACTTTGGTTAAGCTCGTGTTTCGTCCATTCAAAACGAAATTGTCGCGCAGAGAATCTTTCATGACACCTATTAATATCATCCGCAGTTGTAAGTAATCCATTCTGAAGTAATTTAAACTGTTAAGGCGAGATTTAAATCGCGAGTGCACGCGACGTGTAACATATATACGAAATATGGCGCGCCTGCGCGGAACGCGCTGCGCAGAAGGTTTCTGCGCATCGGCG